TCTGAGGGCTGTCTTTTCACCTTGCTTATAGTTTCCTTCGTTGTGCAAAAGCTTTTAAGTTTAATTAGGTCCCATTTGTTTATTTTTGCTTTTATTTCCAATATTCTGGGATGTGGGTCATAGAGGATCCTGCTGTGATTTATGTCCGAGAGTGTTTTGCCTATGTTCTCCTCTAGGAGTTTTATATTTTCTGGTCTTACATTTAGATCTTTAATCCATTCTGAGTTTATTTTTGTGTATGGTGTTAGAAAGTGTTGTAGTTTCATTCTTTTACAGGTGGTTGACCAGTTTTCCCAGCACCACTTGTTAAAGAGGTTGTCTTTTTTCCATTGTATATCCTTGCCTCCTCTGTCAAAGATAAGGTGTCCATAGGTTCGTGGATTTATCTCTGGGCTTTCTATTCTGTTCCATTGATCTATATTTCTGTCTTTGTGCCAGTACCATACTGTCTTGATAACTGTGGCTTTGTAGTAGAGCCTAAAGTCAGGCAGGTTGATTCCTCCAGTTCCATTCTTCTTTCTCAAGATTACTTTGGGTATTCGAGGTTTTTTGTATTTGCATACAAATTGTGAAATTATTTGTTCTAGTTCTTTGAAAAATACCATTGGTAGCTTGATAGGGATTGCATTGAATTTATAGATGGCTTTGGGTAGTATAGCCATTTTGACAATATTGATTCTTCCAATCCATGAATACGGTATATTTCTCCATCTGTTTGTGTCCTCTTTGATTTCTTTCATCAGTGTTTTATAGTTTTCTATGTATAGGTCTTTTGTTTCTTTAGCAAGATATACTCCTAAGTATTTTATTCTTTTTGTTGCAATGGTGAATGGTATTGTTTCCTTAATTTCTCTTTCTGTTTTCTCGTTGTTAGTGTATAGGAATGCAAGAGATTTCTGTGTGTTAATTTTATATCCTGCAACTTTACTCTATTCGTTGATTAGCTCTAGTAATTTTCTGGTGGAGTCTTTAGGGTTTTCTATGTAGAGGATCATGTCATCTGCAAACAGAGTTTCACTTCTTCTTTTCCTACTTGTATTCCTTTTACTTCTTTTTCTGCTCTGATTGCTGTGGCCAACACGTCCAAATCTATGTTGAATAGTAGTGGTGAGAGTGGGCACCCTTGTCTTGTTCCTGATTTTAGGGGAAATGCTTTCAATTTTTCACCATTGAGGGTAATGCTTGCTGTGGCATTGTCTCTTTTCACAGCCTTTATCTTAAAGTTATTTTGTCTGATACGAGTATTGTGACTTCCGCTTTCTTTTGGTCTCCATTTGCATGAAATATTTTTTCCAGCCTTTCACTTTCAGTCTGTAGGTGTCCTTTGTTTTGAGGTGGGTCTCTTGTAGACAGCATATATAGGGGTCTTGCTTTTGTATTCATTCAGCCAGTCTTTGTCTTTTGGTTGGGGCATTCAACCCATTTACATTTAAGGTAATTATTGATAGGTATGGTCCCATTGCCATTTACTTTGCTGTTTTGGGTTCACATTTATACAACCTTTCTGTGTTTCCTCTCTAGAGAAGATCCTTTAGCATTTGTTGAAGAGCTGGTTTGGTGGTGCTGAATTCTCTCAGCTTTTGCTTGTCTGTAAAGCTTTTGAATTCTCCTTCATATCTGAATGAGATCCTTGCTGGGTACAGTAATCTGGGTTGTAGTTTACTCTCTTTCATTACTTTAAGTATGTCCTGCCATTCCCTTGTTATCCTTATGGGAATCCCTTTGTGTGTTATTTGTTGTTTCTCCTGATGATACATCCTGTATGTCATGCTGGCTTTTGAATGGGGTTCCAGGTGTGGGACAGTGAATGGAGCAGGGCCACAGAGCCTAGGAGTGTCCTGGAAACGTGGGGCAAGTGGCCTGGGGGGACAGTGTGGGTCACAAGCCCTCAGGACAGGCAGGAGCATCTGTGGTGGGACCTTCATTCCGTTGCTGTGTGCCCCCCTCCCACACGCCTCCTGCCGGGGGCTGCATAGGTGGTCCTTGGGTGGTGTCCACAGTGGTCCCTTCTCTGCTCTGCCTACTCTCACCTGGTGCTGCTCTCGAGTTATCTGTGGAAAGCCCTCTGAAGTCTGTAGTTGCTGTTGCTCCTCTACCAACTCTCATTTATCCCCTATTTCCTCACATGTCTCCTTTCTTTCTCGACCATGGGGCTGTCACTGTTTCCATGTTGCCCCACTGTGACCAGTGACTGCTGGTCTCCTCTCCATTCTTCCCATCAGTCATGACCACCTGGTAGCTTAGGGCAAAACAAGAGCATCCTACACTCGCCTTAGGCTTTTCTGCCCTGGTGCTGGCACCAGCGAGTCCCAGGGACCCCCCCACCCCGCCCCCAGTTCCAATCTCAGGGCAGACCCGGGGAGCTGATGGCACTTGGGCCCATGGGGTCTGGCTATGCCAAGCCGACTCACACGGTGCTCCTTGTGTCTATCTGTCCAGTTCCAGTCCCACACCACAGGGCTTAGGCTCCTGTCTCCCTTCCTGTGTCCATACTCCAGCAGTGAGATGCCTGCTCCTAATGTCCTAAGTACATTAGCTTCCTGGACGAGTCCCATGTAGTCAGCCCCCCTCGGCCATCCCTGCACCCCCACCCCTGCAGCACACTGCCCCCCCCCTGGGCTCTGACAGCTTTAAGACTGGACACTTCCTATCATGGGGGAGGGGTATTTTGACATTTTGTATTTATATCTATATAATTTGGGACACTAATTATGTAGGTTATTTCTTTCTGGAATACACATGCCCTTTGCACTGCTGTGGAAAATTTGGCTCTTGCCACAACTCCGACCAAGTTAATATAACTCGTCTTCTTCTCTTAGAAACCCAGGGTTGTTGTAGCTACTGTGTTCATTTCAGTGTCATCTCTCACCTTAAACACGGACTGCTTCCTGTCATCCCTCACAGCTCTTCAGCAGGCACAGCAACCTTCATCATGCTAAAGAAACTAGCGTTTCAAATACATCACTTCTTTCAATTATATCACTTCATGCATGAAAGTACTTCTTTGTTCATTTTTTAACTTCATTTTTTAGACATTATTCTCTTATTTCACCTAGGGTGGTGCTTTCTTTTTCTGCTGGTGGCTGATGGACTTGCGTTTTTAGCAGTCATTAAATCTCAGTGTCTCCTGAGTGATGTGATGGAGGCAGCAACTATGTTGTCTAAGCTGAGAATGGTTTTCTCATTTTTAACGTGTTGTTTTAAAAAGAGAAGGGCAAGTGACAGACCCATAGTGTGGCCCGTCAGCCCTACAGCATGTCATCTGACTCAGCCTGACCCTGAAATGTTAGTTTGGTTACAATGATGAAATGAAAAGCTTTTCTGAATGAGATATATTCACAAGAAGATTAAAATATTTTGTGATCTTTACTTTTTGACAAATTAGGTATTAAATATTCTTAGATCGTCAAAATCTGGTAAAACCATTCTTTATAAATTGATGTACATATTCATGTATAAAAAGAACTAGTTTTGGGTACATCTGTAAAATGTGGCTAATCGACTCTCAGTTGGAGTCCAGTGGCTCTGAAGTCACTGGTTCCTGTGAGCACAAGCTGGGCGTGAACCTGGTTCCTGGCCTGTCCCTCCATATGGGCACTCTTCACCTGGGTTTGGGTTGGGGCGCTGTGGCCCCCCAACAGTGTGAAGTTACAGCTGAGGGGGAGGTGGGGAGCTGCCCAGGATGAGAGGAGGGTTCACGGCTTTCAGGACATTTGTTCCTGAAAGCTGAGAAACACTGATCTATGAGGAAGAGTGTCTTTGGCCTGGCTGTTTTCGGGAGGAAGGTAAATGAAATATAATCGGGGAGACTTACTCATTCACAGGTTTCACAGGTGGATGGCAGCACCTGACTCATTGGGGCACCTGGAACCAGTCACACGAGGTGCACCCCAGTGCCACACTTTCTGAGGCTGTGCTGTCTTCCTTTTCAGACGAGCAGAACTACCTTTTCCAAGATGCAGAGGCCGAAGTGTTTTTCTCCTTCAGTTTGGAGGAGTCCTTGAGGGGGACACATGTTTCTCTGCTCTTCAAGGTACACCTGGACTGGAGCTCAGATCAGCTGTTTAAGCTGGGCGACTGCGATGGGCCAGGCAGCTTGCACCCAGAGAGCCGGGCTCTCTCCACTCCCCCTGCACAGTCAGGCCTCCTCTAGGGTCTGTTCGGGTTGAAGAGAATCGATATGGAAAGAGATGCATTACAAATAACCTGGGTTCAGAGAGTATGTTATGAATAATTTATAAGATATTTAATTTTTTTGCTTTAACAACTTACATTAATACTATTCTCATAAAATGTATATTCAGCTGGAAAATGGAGACCATTCTTGAGAAAATATTAACTGAATATGTGTCTAATAATTCTAGAGTACAGTGTTTAAATGTTTCTAAGATAGAACAGTTTGGAAAATGTTTGTATCAAACAGTGGCTTAGTAGATTAATAGAGATAATCAGTTTTTTTTTTTTTTTTTAACTCTTAAGGAGCCAATTTAGGAATCAAAAGAGATTTCCAGTACTGAGTTAAGAGTACCTTACCTAAAATAGTCTGTTTTTCTAAATGTTTGAGGAGTTTAAACAAAATGGTACTTCTGGTACATTTAAGAGTAAGTAAATTAGAAAAATTTAATCATCAAAATCATTTTGTACTCCATTTGAGCTTTAGAAATTGTGAAAAATGTTCTTATTCTTACTCTTATCACAGAATGCTTCATGTCCTACAGGAATTAAGTTATAATCACTTTTTAATAATTATAGGTCACACCTAGCGTATGAGAGTGTTACTTCTGAAATTTCATGCCTGGGTTTGCCAGGTCCACTTTGGGTTGGGGACCAGGGGAATCTAGTACCATGTAGCTCCATCAAATTAGGCATTTTGTCAAAATTCTTGGGTAGGATGAGAAATTACGCACACCAAAAATTCAGTTTGAAACCAGTACACATATTTTCATTTTTAGGTGAAATACTTTTACATCACTCCTGGGATCTGCCCAAGTCTGTCAACCATGAAAGCTATTAGGCAATGTGCAGGAGGCAAAGTGTTGTCTAAACAGCCGTCTTTCCAGAAATTCATGGAATATAAGCAGGATAAGGTGCACAGAAGTGAAACACTGTTGAATGCATCAATGCCATGTATGAGGTTCAGTAACCAAGAAGCTGCTTTTCTCTTCCTTAGAGTATGTCAGAAATAATTTTAATATCCTGTGAAAATGACGTTCACATGTGTCAAGAATATTTTGCCAGAGGATTAGGTATTTTCATTGCTCTGCAGCGTGTTGGTGTGCGTGGGTGCGGGCAGGTGCGTCTGTTTGACAGGTTTTGTCTTTGTTCCTTGCAGATGTTCACAATGCAGAGCTTGTTCTCACTGGAGTGCTCACTCAGACACTGGGTTATGAGTCATATCCTTTGGGAAGGCGGTGGGTGGGCCCCTCTCATCGTTAGTGTCAGAGCTGTGTGTGCTCCGTGAGCCCACAGGTTAGGGCACTACTGCCAGGGTTAGTGATAGAAACACTGAGAGGCCCATTGAATTTTTAGGCTGTTCTTCTAGAGTAGATGCTCTTACATCTTTCCGGGCTCTTTCCCGCCCTCCATGTTGATATCTGAATGCCTGTTCTGCACTGCCTTTCCCAAGACTTGGTATAAAGCTTACCTGAGCCATCTGTGGGTGACCTCTCGGGCCTCTCCTCACCTCTGCAACCTGACAGCAGCCGTGTCGTCCTGCCTCAGGCAGTTGCCTAGGCAGCAGGGCCTGGTGCATGCCCTGTAGGAGAAGGGAGTGGCTGGTTTTCTGTGGCGTGGCTTTGGGTACCTGGGCCTCTTTTTCTTAATGTGGGGCCCTTGTTAGGTGTCGGCAATGGTCTGCGATGCTGTGGGAAGCTGTTTTCCTCAACACACCTACATATAAATTTAACTGATGCACCTGCGCTGGTGCCAGGAGCCGCGTAGACCTGCCCTCGGCCCTGTTCCCTTAGACTCCCTTGTTTTAGAGCTGCTTACTTGGGGATAAGCGTTTTTAAGCAGGAAGACAAATATATTAAATATGTTGCATCTTATTAAGGTGTGCAATTTAATTCTGAGGAAACAAATTATATTTTATATTATATGACTTTTAAGAGCCCACATTAAGTTTTATGATTCATTTGCCAGGTTTTTAAATGTTTTCACAACACTGTTACTGTAACTTTAGCTGCAAATAAAACGATGCAAATAAAGACCTTGCTATCTCTAAATTATGGATGTTAAATATTTGAAAAGTTCTGTAAATTTATTTTTATTTCTTATGCTCTTTTCTTTTATACTGAAATCTTGCCCACATTCTAAATAAATGTACTTTTGAACTTCAATTAGAATTGAGTGATCCTTTATTGTGACACTTTTTTTTTGTATGGTTTATAGGGTTTGCATTAAGCTTGAACACATTTTAAGTAATTTCAAGACAAAATATTTTCTAGTAGAATTTTCTCCTGTGGAAGTAATTTCTGGAAGGTAGCCACTTTCTATCAACGTGAGACATAAACTCCTGAGCAGAGCTATGTTCAGAACATTAGCAGTTATTACAGCACAGGCACCAACTGGCCAGAGTCATTAATACCACAGAAACCCACATCTCTCCTGCTTCTGTTCCAGATACGGTTATAATACACTTCCTGTCTGGTTGTAGGTACAAAAATGTAAGTGGAGACCATCGTCTTACTAGTAGCTACTGACATATGAGCATGTTTAATATACTACAGTTATTAGTGTACTCAAGACCAGTGCTGTCATAGAGGTTCAGTCCTGCCCCGACATTACTGCCCATCAGTGTGCCCCTCAGACACTGAATTTGCCTCCACAGCAGTTGCTGAGGTGTCTTCATAAAGGGAGTTGTAATTGGCTCCAGTCTCTTCTCCAGTCGTGAAATCTGTACAGTTTAATTCCCAAACACAGATGGAACACGTGCATTAAACACGTCAGGACTTCCCCATCACAGGAGTTGTTAGCATTGCCATAAGGGTCGGGCATCACTTAGTTACGTGGGATGTCCTCCTGTCTTTGACATGGAGCCACGTGGCGTTAGTCCTGCAAATCACCACTCGGTGTCACAGTTGTGAGGTGAGGCTCCACACCTGTGACCTCACCTGTGCCCTAGGCCCTGACCTGTGTCAACTTTCCCGTGACATGTCTCTTACCATGTGGTCCTTGTTAAGTCTCTCAGCATGCGTGGATGACAAGCTAATGGTCTCCTGCACACATTAATCTATCAAGTTCTTTAAAACACACCCAGTTGGCACTTACTTGCATCTTTAACAGACTATCTCTCAATGTATGGCCTTTTTAGTTCCTACTTTTGTACCTAATCAAACAAACTTACCTATAGAACTGACTGTCTTCTCACAAACCACAGGTGGAATGAATATTGATATGAGAGAATCTAGAATCTGTAAGGTCCTGGAAGTACAGAGGAGTTTTATGAGTTGGCACAAAATGTTGATTGCACAGTATTCAGAGTATGGGCCTGCTTCTTATACCTTTGAAGAAAATTGAACATGATAATGGCATAAAAGCCTCTGGGTAGAGTCAATGCATCTGTTCAGTCTTCAGTGAAGAGGGGGATTTGTTTAAACAACATGCAAGCCTGCCTGATTTGATTAACCTTTCAGTGAGTGTTTTTCCAAAACCTGCCAAGAAATACTTAAAAACGCCAGGAGCTGTCTACAGCCAACTGGCCTGCATAGTTGCTGAGCACTGACTTGAAGACTCAAAGGAAATTACATATGAAGATTTAATAAAAAGATAAAGCAAATCAACTTGTTAGGTTGATTAGATTATAAAATTATTTCTCGTAAGAAAGGAAGTCTCAGTCCTGTTGTTTGGTCTGACTCAAGATTTAGTAGAAGTATAATGTAGACCACATATGTAATTTTATATTTCTAGTAGCCACAATAAGAAAGCTCTTAGATTTTAGTTTCTACAGTTTAATATCTCTGAAGTGTTATTTCATTTATAAGTAATATTTTTTAAAAATTTAAAAATACTTTAGATTTCACACCATGTACAGTTCAAAAAGCAGATTTGCACACCCAAGTTATTTTAAGTGTAGGGTGTTTTTTTTTTTTTTTTTTTTTTTTTTTTAGTTAATGTTAACTATGATTAGCAGTTGAGCCCTTCTTCCACACCAGGCATATTTCCACTGCATGGTGAGCTGGTGTGGCTGGTCTCCACCCTCTCACTTTGCAAATGGGTGGGAGAAACATGGAAGCCACTAAAGAAGGCACACTTGGTATTGGAACAAGCCCAGGATCATATCATACCTCTGCGTAGAAAAGTACGAGACTTTGAATCCAGATGGCAGAACAGAAGGACATGGAACTCACCTCCTCCCACAAATACATCTACACATGGACCAGTTCTCACTATACCTCCTGGTGGGAAAGCTCAGGCACCAAGGAGCACAAGAAAGATGATGTAACACAGTAGGATGAAAAGGGGGATGAAAAGGGGAGAAGGACGGGCCTGGTGCCACTGTGAAGAAGCTCTGATCAAGGAAAGGTTCCAGCCCCTGGAAAGGCCCTTTCCCAAGGGGAGACCACCCACGACAGAGAGGGGGTCTTCAGAGACTCGGAGGAGCACATAGCAGGCAGAGCAGAGAGCCCAGGAGAGAGGCTCTGTGCTACCTGTACATGGTCTCCAGCCTGAGATGCATGCCTGCTGGTTCATGCAGGACAGATCCCGGGGATAGGACTTTGGTTGGCTGCGTGAAGAACCTGAAAGCCTGGAGTGGGGCATGGCCACAACTGGGGAGGCATGGAAGACGACTTGGCCATCGTAGAAGCAAAGCACTGATGTTAAGGGTCGTGTGAAGGGCAGAGCGGGACCCCCATCAGCTTCTTCCTCATTCACCCAGCACAGCACCACTCCACGAGACTTGGAGCACTCTGGCACCAGCAGGGCCCTCACCTACTGAGGCAAAGCTGAAATCATCCTCCCCATGGCTGTGCCGTGAACCGATTTCTACCACCGCCTCTAGCTCTGTCCACTTGGTGCCTGCAGGACACACGAGTGGACAGTGGGGGCTCCCTGGCTGGGACAGGTCCGGCCTGGGCAGCTGTGGGATTTGTGGGTGTACACAGAGGCCGGGCCAGGCCTGAGCTGCTCCCCGCTTCCATGGCAGGTCCAGGTGCACAACTACTGATTTCAGAGGATCTGCATTGGTGGCTTTGTGAACACAGCACCTGACAGCCGCCAAGGCTGCCTGCCTGCACCCCCACAAAGGATGGGGTCCCAAGCAGACCTACACCAAGACAGAGGGTCATAAAAATGTCAGAAGTGAAAGAGATGTCTAAAGGAAGTAAGAGGAAAACAAAGGATTCATTACAAGAGAACCCCCACAAGGCTGCCAGTGGATTCCTCTCCAAAATCATTGCAAGTTAGAAGGGAGTGCCAAGATAAATTTGAAGTCCTGAAAGGGAAAACCCTGCAGCCTACTATACTCTACTGAGGAGGACTATCATTTAGAAGAAAAGGAGAGGAAATTTCTCAGATATGATGCCAGAAGATGAGCCCCCCAGGTCGGAATGGTGTCCAATATGCCACTGGAGAATAGAGGGCAATTACTAATAACTCCAGAAAAATGAAGACTGAGCCAAAGCGGAAATGATGCTCCATTGACGATGTGTCTGGTGGTGAAAGTAAATTCTTATACTGTAGAGAACATTACTACATAGGATTCTTAGATGTTAGATGTTAGATCCATGAATCAAGGAAAATTGGAAGTGGTCAAGCAGGAGATGGAAACATTGAACATTAACATCTTAGGAATCAGTGAACTAAAATAGACTGGAATGGGTGAAGTTTAATTCAGATGACCATTATATCTACTACAGTGGGCAAGAATCCCTTAGAAAAAGTGGAGTAGCCCTCATAGTCGACAAAAGAGTCTGAAATGCAGTACATGGATACAATCTCAAAAACGACGGAATGATCTCTGTTTGTTTCCAAGGCAAACCATTCAGTATCACAGTAACCCAAGTCTGTGCCCCAATCACTAATACTGAAGAAGCTGTAGCTGAACAGTTCTATGAAGACCTACAAGACCTTCTAGAACTAACACCCAAAAGGCCTGTCATTTTCATCTTAGGGGACTGGAATGCAAAAATAGGAAGTCAAAAGATACCTGGAGTAACAGGCAAGTTTGGCCTTGGAGTACAGAATGAAGCAGGGCAAAGTCTAGCAGAGTTTTGCCAAGAGATCACACCTATCATAGCAAACATGC